TACGCACGTATGCACATACGCACGCGTTGCGTTCAAGGCTACTCTCGAGAATCTCGAGGGATATATTTCTACGCGAGGTTTAAATTGAATGTTTAATTACCCGAATAATGTGCGCGCGTGGTTTGTCGCGACGACAAATTATTAAAATGATTGCACACACGCGGTTGGGAAGAAAAGCCAAATCGCTCTCGAATTTATCGCGTGGGAGTGTTTTTATTTCCTTGTTACAAAATAAAATCTATGATTTACTTATTGTGACTTCTTCTGTCTAAAAGATGTATCTACGTACACAAATTAATACTTTTTCAATTATGTTCTTTAACAATGAAATGTTTCCTATGTTATTTTTAATTAGAGAAATGAATTAGAGGAAAATCTTTATTATTACAAACTATCCTCTAAGAACCGTTCTCTAAAAGATTGACTATTGTAAGTCTCGAAGCCACAAAAACAATAATTATCACGGTGTATAACACAGACGTTGCTCTTAACAGTTCGATGCGCACGGTAGCAGTAATTAACAAAAAGCGTAAAATAAGTATTGCAGAAACATTCGTCGAAAAAGAATCAGCGGTAAAACAGAGAAATTTAAATTTCTATTAGGAATAATAAGCACAGGTAAAAAATATGTGTACTGTATAATTGCCAGATTAATTTAGTAACAAACTAAATAGAGCTAACCATATGAGATTTTGATGCAGTTGAATAGAAAAAGACTACTTGTTTTCTTATTATTACATCTATTAACATTTAGATATACATATAGATATAATTTATTGTTATAACTTGTATATTTAAAGTCATGTAAAAGTTGCAAATTACATATTATATTTTTGTTTTTAAAGTAATACAAATTAACAAATTAAATTTTGAGATTATTACGACTAAAAAAAATGGATATAGAAGAATTAGAAAAAGATTCTTAAAATTAGAAAAGGATGAAAAGTTAGTTGAACCGAAATTAAAATTAAATTACATTGGTAGAAACAGGCATAATACACATAAGACTGAATTATTTTGAGTTATAATGTTTTTTTAGTTGTATCACTTTTGAAGCAATATTTTTTATTCCTTATTTGAACAAGAAAATCATTTCATTGTTTCAATTCTCATACTTCAACGTATTCACTGCACATGCACGTATACAGATGTATTCTAAATAAGATCCTAAGGTTGTCAATGCGACACTCGACACCCCTGAACACGTGTAACACTTGGAAGGTGTCGGCGAGTCTTCTGTCAGAATCAGTATTACAATGTAGGGAACACCTAAAGCGGGGTAGGTCTTCACGCTACCGAGAGGGGGAATCAAGAAGAGGAGTGAGCAAGTTAGGCTCGATGAACAGGTGGATCATCGAAGCCGACATTCGAGGCTCTTCCAATCGAGTGATGAAGCGAATAATACGAGCCTCGAGGTGAGGGAAAATTTTTCGTACAAACTATTACCTAATAAACGCATTTTCAGCTCTTTTACTTTGAAGAAGTACAATAAGAGTATCTATATGAAAAAATAATGAGAAATATATATTTTTTTACAGGATTTTATTAATCATAGTCTCATGTGAATAATTTTAAAAAGTATTTAATATATTTTATAAATTAATAATA